ATGAAAACCATGGAGAAATGAACAGTCAGGGTGTCAGAGTTCATGTTCGCCACTCGGCGTCAAAGATTCTTATGTGAAGAGGGTCAACCAAATAGATGGCAGCAGTTTCACCGGCCTATCTCTGTTTGCGTTTGTTCAGTCATGAGAGGACTTCACGCCGCGGCGGCCATCAGCAAAGATTACAACAACAGGCTGCCGAGAAGGAGGCGCCAGCAAGCTGCGAGAGCTCTGCTCTGTGTTTGCTGCTGTTGAACTGGTTTGCGTGGGGGTTCTTTTCGCCACAAAGAGTTCAGCAGATCGCTGAAATGGCTGTGAAGGACATCGAACGATCCAAGGAAGACCCACAAGTTTTGAAAGACCTCTACACCCTGTCCAATCTGGGGACCAAAGGAAAACACGCGAACAACATCCACGCCGAGCTCATGAGCAAAGTTGAGCATGTTCCAAAAATCCCCAAGCCTTTCAAAGCAAAAGTGCCACTGAAAGGGTTTCCTGACTCAGTTCAATCGATGCTGTTGCCACATGAAATGTTTGCTTGTCTATACCGCAACTACAAGAAGGTCTGGTCCACTGCAGTTGTGCCAAGCGTTGAGCGGGTGCAAAAGTTTTGGAGAGCCATGCGGCTTCATCCCCAGATGCGTGATCACCCCATGACTTCCTCCCCTCAATGGGAGAGTTGGACTGTGCCTATTGCCGTGCACGGTGACGGAGTTCCAGTCACTGGTGTGGGGAAAGTGTGGAGTCGAGTGATGACCAATTACTCATGGTATTCCCTTCTGGGATATGGTACCACTCCATCAATGCTCATGTGGGTGTGGGGGTTCTTTGACAAGCTGAAGGTGGGCGACCAAGCATCAGGCACACTGCTGGAGTTCTACTCCATATTGAGATGGAGCTTTTTGGCGTTATCGGAAGGCAGGTGGCCTTCGAGGAATCACAGAGGAGAGAAGCAACTTGAAGTTTTGCAGACATGTCTTGCTGTTAAATGTACATGCAACAAACCAGCAGGAATATGAATACATATGCAATTGAGAGAGGTCATCCATTTATAAAAGAATATAACATGGAACGTGAGAACCTGGAACATGAGAACCTGGAACATGATAACCATGAACATTGAAGCTGAACTGTTTTACCCTAGTTCCTCTCATGGTGTCACCTCTCAGGGGTACAAAAAGTTCCTCTCATGGTGTAACCTCTTCAGCGTTTCAGGTGTGGTCTGAAAAATTTCGGCTGTGTAAGGTACAAAGAAGGCTCTGTGGAAGCCTTGAGAGCCGGGTCTTGGCTGGCTGGTGGCTGGAAGGGTGTCCTATGGGCACTCACAGGAGACCTTGACTACTTCAACGCCATGCTTGGCACCCCCAACTATTCCGCAGTGGGTGGCCCATGTATGCATTGCAAATGCACTGGGACTGGCGCTGCAACATGGACAGATTTTCGACCACAGGCTATGTGGAGGAACACCCGCTGGGAGGCCGACGTTTGGAGAAATTGGGACGAACGTTCGAAGTGCATTTTGCTGACTCTTCCTGGGGCGAGTTGCTGGTCAATAGCCTACGACTGGGTTCACGTAAAGTACTTGGGCGTAGATCAGTACATCTTTGGCTCAGTGATGGCCCTCTTGGTTTCTATGGTCATGCCACATGACGCGAACCAGAACTTGCAGAACTGCTGGGATTTTTTGAAAACCTTTTTCAAAAACCACGCCACGCCCACACCATTCAGATATTTGTCGAAATTGTCAATGTTCATCCGCACAGGAAAGTACCCCAAATTGAGGGGGAAGGCCTCAGAGATAAGGCACTTCGGCCCAGCTTTGTTGGCCCTATGGTCTCGCCATCAGAACCCTCACCTCGTGCTGCACCAGCGCATCACCCTCATGCTGAAACAAAATGTACACCTGGAGGAAATGATTACTTTCCACAAGGACGACTTCGCCCTACCACCTGGACCAGCGCAAGAGTTTGAAGAAACCGCCAACAGCATGCTCTTACTTCTTTCCCAGGTAGCTGATCACTTCGTTGAGGAAGGCATGAAATGCTTCGATATCACAAGCAAATGCCACATGCTTCAAGAGCTTGCTATTTTGAGTCGCTCCATAAACCCCAAAGTCACATGGTGCTTCATGGGTGAGGATCAAATGCAGCGCATGCAGCAGGTCGCTAAAGCGTGCGTTCGTGGCAACAAGCTTGATAAACAAACCACAAAGCTGGCCCGCCACTACCGCTTAGGGTTGCACCTGCACTATCTCGACTTGGCTGCGTAAAAAGAATTGTGAGCTTGTGCGCACTTTGCTGGGACACGTGAGCTGCAGGTTTTACTTCTCTGAGTATATATATGTGGTTTGTTCATGCGTCGAGTTTGCTTCACGTAGAGCTGTGAGAGGCATCCGTGAGACACCTTCAGAGACATCCATATGATAGACACATCTAACCTGTCTTAAATATGTCTGCATCCATGAGGTCTGACACTATATATACCCTGAAAGTCTCTCACAGTCTTTCATTTACCACATATCACAGTCTTTCATTTACCACCTACCACAGTCTTTGTTTCTGATTTTTGCCAAGGTCTCTCACTCTCAAAGTCTCTCATCGATTTCCCCCACAGATTTTGCCAAGGTCTCTCACTCTCAAAGTCTCTCATGGATTCCCCCCGCAGTTCTCTCATGGCAGACTTGTTGCGAACACTTCAACAAATCGACTTTGAGAAAAATCATGTTGGTCTCTTACTACTGAAAGACCTGTCGTAGTTTTGAAAGAACCCTTTAAACAAGACTTGTTGAAAGAATATCACTTTTACTGGCTTTATTCTTATGAGCAGGTTTTTGGAGACACATATCCATGAGATACCTTGTGAGAGACTTGAAAGCAAGCATGAAAGATGAAGTCTTCAGCCCCTGAAAAGATCTATGAATAAATACCTTGATTCAGAGATTTTTTGTTGGCTATGAACAAGACCGACCGGGAATTGCTGAAATCTGCTCTTTAGAAGCCGACCCCATTGCCAGAGATGGCAAGTCTCCATTGAGAGATTTCAAAGCAAGCATGAAAGATGAAGTCTCGAGCCCCTGCAAAGACTCCACCTCTGGTGAACAACTGTTCATGAGAGAGTGGTGCCATGAGAGACCATGACAGAGGTGCCATCAGAGGTTTGCACACTGTGGGTATTCACTCATGGCCATGTTTTGGATGTGTACCAATTGTATTTCCGTCGGTTTGTATACAGTAAGAAACGTGTATATAAACACAAAAAAGCTTAAAAAATAAGGGTCGTACTTTGGTAGTAGTTTGGTAGTAGTTTACCACCAGAAAAATCTAACTAATAGTCAGAAATCTAACTATTAGACAAATTTTGTTTTTAACTATTAGTTAGATTTTTTCGATCGAAAACTGATCACAAAAATCTAGCTAATAGTTAAATTCGCAAAAACGATAAACTAACTATTTAGACAATTTTGCTTCCAAAAAAGTTAACTATTTCAAGCCAAAAATCGATCTATTTTCCACACCCCAAACATAGATCTATTTTTAAGAAATCAATTGATTTCCAAGAAATAGACAATAGTCCAAAAACAAGCTGACTCAATCTATTGGGTTCTAGCTCCCCGAACACCTGACCCCGCCACAGCTTTCCCCAATCTAATTCTGGTCCAAAACGAGCCTCCTCTGGTTGCACTTTCGCTGCCAAACGCCGCCTCTGAATCCCT